TGAACCCTGCCTAGCTAGTTTATTTAGTTTTGAGAGTTGTAATTGCTTTGACTATTTTTTTTCCCTGTGAACTGGCAAGAGTATATTTTTCTTCACCCCCCTGTGCTAAGCAGAAGTTGATTTCTCTGCTCTTCTAGCCTTTGGGTAGAAGCATATAACCTGCTCACTGGTCATGAAGAATCCAGCTCTCACCATAGATGTATGATCCTTTCAAACACCCCTGCCAGGCATGTTGCAGTGCTGTCTGCAGAGGGGATGTGTTACTGCTGGGAGAATTCAGGCACAGTAGATGCTATTTTAATGCTTTAATGGTTTTTTTTTAGATAGCTTTAATGACAATAATTTTCTACTGTAGATGAGAAGACATGTTTGACATGAAGTGATTGAATTCAATGAGTTCCTGTCCAAAGATAGAAGCATTTCTCTATTAAACCTGTATTTGTTCTGCAAAGTATATGGCAGATGCATTTTAGGTTATGACCAAAATAAAGCTTGACTAAGCCAAAATGCTGTGGTTTGTGCTGTGCTTTTTCTTCTGAATTTGGGATGGAGATTGCTGAAATCCAGCTGGCTTAATGACCGGTGAGATTAAAAATACAGCTTTGATAACCTAGATTTCCTGTTGGCTGAATTTGTCTTTTCTAGACTTTGTTCAGGGAGCTGAAGATTCCCTTTGGCACACTGAAAGGCTTCAGTAAGGCCCTGAATTGTAGACTTAAGGGATTTGGATGAGGTCAGTTCTTCCAGATCACTTGGAAGAGACCTCAGCAAGATATTTTGCATCACAGCAAAAAGAGACACATGCCTAAGAAGAAATCAGTTAAGCCTGATACGAGCATGAGGAAGGAAAATGCACATGTCAGAAGAGAAGAAAACGTGCTGGTTTTTTTCCAGTCTTTGATACTAGGAAGAGGCCAACAGGAAATAATGTATGGTGGTTTGATGGAGTTATAATTTCCATAGCAACTTGGTTATTAGTCAAAAAGACCCCAGCTCACCTTTCTTTCACAAACAGCAGGCAGGATGCTGTGGTCAACATTGATGACAAAGTTACACCATGCAAGATTAACTCCCTGTTGTTTTCGAAAGCAAGTTAACCACATCCTGAGGAGGAAATAAGGCTTTTTATATAGTGTCTGAGTTACTGTTGGCTTCAAGACAGCCTCTACAGGATGCACAGAGGGTTTAATTAAGCTTTGTTTAGTCCCTCAGACCCTGCAGACACAGAGGAAGACCCTCATCCTATGCAGAAGAAAAGCAAAATTAACATGGCAAAACCCAAACCCGTAAAAGGCTTCCTTAGTGCATTCTACCTCCATAATGTAGAACAGGGGGAATTGTTCACTAATGTTTTTATCCTGATTTTCTGATGACACCCTGAACCTTTTCATTTTGAGCACCACAGCGTTTCCCAGTCTCTCAGGCAAGACTTAGTCTGGGAGTACCTCTGTGTCTCTGAAACTCAAGGAATAACATTTTCCTGACCAGTCCTTGATTGTGCCTGAGAGCTTTGGCAGAATTAAAATCCTGCAGCTCTGCACAAACGAAAAGAAGCATTTAAAAATATGTGGCTACTGAGGGATAGCATTGACTCACAGTTTATCTTATCTTATCTTATCTTGTCAGCTTAACTTATCAGCCAGATAAAGACATCAGTCTCTATTTCTACGAAGATCCATCCCCACTGGCACAGGACATCAGAGCCCTCATTTCTGTCATGAAGAGAGACAGGACCTGAGTGGTACCTCCATGGGCAGGTTCTTCAGACGTCCCTGGGCAGCACTGAAAAATCGCTCAGTGTGGGAACATCTGTGTCCTCAGTAAGCCCTAAAATGTCAGTCACCAAAGTCTCTGTTCTCTGGGCCACCCCCACACCTGTAACAGATGCTCCACATTTAAGAGTTCCTACCAGGGACTGGGATGCAGACCAAGGTC